AAAGTCACGGATCAACTATTTTTGGCGTGGCTTGAATACTTTACGTTGTACTGGGGATCTGCAAGCAATAAAAGCCGGTCGCGCTACGATGACTTTCTGAAGGCACTTCGCAAATACTTACCGGAAAAAAATCTGGATGAGATGATTGGATCGCAAGAGTTTGAAGAGGCTTTTTTGAAGCAAGGTGATGGTGTGCGTGGCGACTTTATTAGAATACGCTGGACTTGGCTAATTGATTTTTCCTTACGCAATAAGCTTCGCCCAGATGATGCGTTTTCCAAAATAAACAAAAAAACGCATTATTTAGATAATCCAAACAGCCCTGTGCTGTTGTGGATGCTCAATTACGTCGCTCGGTACAGGAAACAGTCTACATTTACCGACATCGAGCTGTTCACCTTCTTAATTTCCAAACTCTCGTTTGAATCGCTGATGAAGTTGTTGAGATTTCAATGGAAATACCCGCAGTTAAAAAAACTAGCAGATGATATGCTGAACTCCATGTTTTATTCTATAACCATGCTTACGACTTTGGCGAAATCTGGAGTCAAACCTGAAGAATACTTTCGACACCTTGTCAGTGTATATGATACGGCTGCTACGTCTTCTAAATCAGAGATCATGTCAGTTTCACCGCAAAAATATAAAAGGTTTGACGTGGCCATGCAGTACCTCAAGTATGCTCTGGTGGCTGATGTAGAAATAAACAAGACGACATTTGACGACCGGATCAATTCTTAATCAACTCTTTGAGTGAGAAGATGCCTGATATATCGGATCAGAGTTCGAAAGATTTTCTACACAACAAAATGAAGCAATTAGGGCCAAAATTGAGAGAGACTGAACACGAGTTGCCACCTGTATCATAGTGCAAGAGAGGCGTTAGAAGTGTTAGTTATTTGGATGATGGTGACACGTCGGTTCAAGATAGGTTGAGTATCCGAGTATACATACTATCGGCTGCCAATTATTCGCTTCACGAGGTAAGAACTTTAGAACTTACTTTCTACTCATTTTGTCTTGATCGTTTATCCGTTTATGACCTTGT